ACCCCCGCCGTTTCCTCCGCCTCTTGTCTGACGGGGCGGTTCTGGTCGATTCCGAGGAGGCGAGCGAGGCGGTGGCTGCCGGCGATCATTGGCTCTACCCCGGATCGAGCGCGCGTTGGGAGACAGGGAGCGCTGGCGGGAATTGCGCCCCCCGTAGTCCTGACGGTCTCGGTACATCTGGCGGGTATCGCGGTCCGAGGTGCGAGGGCCGGCGGGCGCAAGATTCTTGCCCCGTCCTATCCCGCTGCCGATTCGGATGTTGGGCCGGCTGGCGTTCGCGCCCGCGTTCCGGCCAATGGGTTGGCGGCGGTCTGCCCTGGGCATCATGTCCTCGCTGTCTGAGGATGCCGAGCGCCGGTCCGCGCGGCCCCGGATTTGCATCCCGCTCTGGCCTCTTGGGGGCGCTGGTCCGCCTTGCCTGCCACTGATTACTGAGTTGATGTTGGTCACCATGTGCGGGTCTATGCCTCGGAGGGTGAATGATGAGGAGATCATCGATTGTGAGAGGGACGGGCAGTCGCCTACAAGGTGGCGGTTGCTGGTGCAGTGGGAGCATGAGATGGAGACTAGCACGGGCCCCGAGGGCAGTTCCTGCTGCGGGAGCTTCCACATCATATCGCACTGGAGTTCTAGGTGGCTGGATGATCCACAGAGATCGCATGGTATCTCGGATGCGGAGCCCTTGAGGAGCGAGGGGCATTGCTCTTCATCGTGACCGCGCTCTCGACATCGTTGGCATCTCCGCCATGATGGGCAGAATATGCTTTGGTGCTGATTCCAGGCGCCACAATGCACGCACTATAGGTAGTCAGTAATCGCATTGATAGACTACAGTAGACCCTGAGTGCCATGGGAGGCATATGTCTGACACTCAGTCGAATGTTTCGAGAACATACCTCCTTGGAAGGACACACTGCTGCAAGGTGCCCCTCTTTTAAGCATTCGGTGCACGATATCGGCAATTGAAGGTTGATGTCATTGATGTCGCGGTCATAGAACAAGTATTTAGCCTGTACCTCCATATCATTGCGATCGAGATCGGCGAGTATCGTCGGAGCGACTGAGTACTTTTGGGAAAAGAGACGATGTGATTCCTCCTTTGATATTGTCGATCGGTCGCCTGTGGCTGTTCTCTCTGCGGTGGTACCATTCGCAGAAACAGGGTATACTTGAGTGAACAAGCCATCGGTTTGGTCATTTTGTGAGCCAATATTCAGCAATATAGAGTCATCAGCCTCGGAATCCAGAGATACAGAGTCATCCGAATCTCCAGATTGATCCATGTCACTTGACTCTGCCGATGCCTCCTCGTCAAGCTCGCCTTCCTCCATGTCATCCTCATTTTCAACCAGCGTGACGTCCTGATCGCCACCATCACTGGACACGGAAGCACTGCGACTGCGCCAGAATTTGTCGTTGACAGCCTTGAACTGAGAAGCCTGTTTGCTCTCGCCCATTCTGTCAGCTCGCCTGTTTAGCGATGTCCTAATGCCACTCTTGCTCCCCTTGTTCCAGTTAACTGCGGGTGCCTGAGAATTCGTCCGCGCGCTGTTCTGTTTCTCTGCATCGGATATAGTGGATTTCCCGTCGCTATCGCCATCGGACGAGTCAGAGCCAGAGCTGGACGTGCTCTCCGGATCTACCTCTAACGATGCTGCGCTGAAGGTCGCGCCTTGAGGGACAAAATCTCGCACGTCCGGCACCGCAGATCTACCATTTCTCCGTTGCCTTTTTCGAGGATGCGGGTTTGGATCCGTCGAGTTGGGGCGCGACGAGTCGGTCGAGTCGTTCAAGCGGCTGCGCTGGACGCCAACAGAGGCGGTTCGCGAGTCATTTTCATTATCGGAAGAACCGGTCATGATGCCTCATCGGGGGTTTGGGCACCTGCGAGGGGTCAAAAAGCCGCTCTGGTGATAAGGATATTTAGAAGGTGGAGGGAAATTGTGCATTCTGGGGTTGTTTCCGATCGAGAAATTTTACGGTAGCCGATAGAGACCAGGAGCGTCATTTGTCGGAGGATGCGGAAATGCCTCTGAAATATAGGTAGTCTTACGGTGAACGTGAGTATGAGCATGAAGTACTGGAATTTATCTTGGGAGTGAGTCATTGTCGGTCTGCTGTTGTGATGTTACCGACTGCGCATTATTGAGGATAGGATCGATATGGATCTGCTGAGTCTTGTCCCGACGGATGGGAGATAACAACTCCGTGGCCTCAATCCTCAAGGTTAGCCAGGGGGAGATAAAAATAACAATCCAGATTGAAGTCCATGTTATTCCGTAGTTTATCTACAGAGTAGATCATATCGAATATAGAAGTGATTATTTATTGAGGTCTTTGGGTCTGGCCTCGCCTCGACTCTCCACTGGTTAATTGGCCTTGTCCCATCTCTTCTTCTTCATCATCAATCATCTTCTGCTTCTCCTTGTGAATCTCCAATCTTTCTTCCTTCCGCTGGCCTTCTCTTCTTTTTGCCCCCCCGACCACCAGCTAGGCATCGACCCTCTCCTCGATTCTCTTGTCACTCACTGCTCGAATTTCCTTTCACTTCTTTGGTTTATCATAGTATCGCCATCCATTGTATCCTTTTTCTTTGCTTTTGACCGGTTTCCAGTCTTATATTTGCCGACAGTTGAGTTGCTGTCCGCTGACTCCCGTGACCCATCAGATTTCCGATCTCAGATCTCGCGGTCGGAAGTTCTGCGAGAGTCGGCATTTTCATTGGAACATAGTGAGATTCTTCAGGGAGAAAAGAAAAGGCCTGCATTCATTGGTGGCTCCTGGTCTTGCTTTTTCTGCGCCTCCCGGCTTATCCTAGGCAACCTCTTCGACCTCACCCCGTACGTTCAGACAAATCACCGCCAAAGTGTCTTCCCTACTCGTTCCTCGTGCCATCTCCTTCCCTCCGGAAGTCGACACTGGTTCGCGCCGGTTGTCTCCGGACTCCAACATGTCTCAATCCAAGGCTGGTCGGAGGAGGAGATCGAGCAGTATCATCTACCAGGAGCCGCCGGAATCCATCGAGCATACCAGTGATCAGGCTGCCCTGCCCAACCTCAATGCAAACTGGGTCAATGCCAAGGGTAAGTGAGCTTATACAAGCGAGTTCATGTGTTTTGGGGGGGGGGATACAGCTTGGTATGGGCCAAAAGCTGACTCGATTTCGTCAATTGCAGGTGCCTGGACAATCCACTTCGTTCTCATCATCGCCTTGAAGATCTTCTACGACATCATTCCCGGTGTCTCGCAGGAGACTTCATGGACGCTCACAAATATCAGCTACATGTTCGGCTCCTTCATCATGTTTCACTGGGTGCGGGGTATTCCATTCGAGTTCAACGCTGGAGCATACGACAACCTCAATATGTGGGAGCAAATTGACAACGGGGACCAGTACACGCCAACGAAGAAGTTCCTGCTTTGTGTCCCCATTTGTCTCTTCCTACTCAGCACACATTACACACACTACGACTTGACTTACTTCACCATCAATTTCCTGGCCACACTGGGTGTTGTCATTCCAAAATTACCATTTGTATGTCCTCTCCTGCTTGATCGCGTGATCGTCGCTGATTTGAACCATAGTCACACCGTCTGCGGATAGGTCTCTTTTCCGACTTATCGGACGAGTCGACATAGTATCTCCTTTCTTGCACTACTACTTGGCGTCTCAGTGTTTGCTTTTCGTTGTCTTTACGAGCACCCCATTGCTTGCTATATTAGTCTATTGGGCAGCACCGTCTACGGGATCACCTTCGCTCTCCAGCTTTACAACTACGCTTACTGCAAACTTCTCGCCTGCTGCATGTTCGTGGCGTGACTAGGGGGACTGTGGGTAATTCAATGAAGAATAATTGATATACGAGTCGGCGTGAGCTGAATTAGAGTATGGCAAGGAGCATTTGTTCCTTGTACTGCAATACAGCCGTGTTTTAAATACCACCGAGTCCATCATTAGCCTACTTTCTCATTCTTCGTATGGGCTTGTAGTCAATCCGTCAGCCAACGCATTGACTGGTAAACCCACCATTTGCTTGCTGCGTTTGACCAGCCCAGACCTCCTCGATTATCCGTAGGGTGTTAGAATGCGTCAGTTTCTGCATATGTAAACTACTCCGGGCTTATCGCAGCACTATATGAGGGCTTCTACATCCAGGCCTCTCCGAGTTTATACGACAGTAGGCCTACTATATGGCTCGGCCCGTATTTCTGCAACTGTTGGGCTACACCGTGCAGCCTGACGCTAGTTTCGTGGCATGGAAAAGGGAAATCGACCAAAGCTCGATCTGTCTCAAAATTGGGATGGTGATCCGATCCCGGAGACGGTGCCGACGGCAAATGGCGTCCGAGGCAGCAAGTTAGATGCCTGGGATGCCAGCGATGTATAGTCTCTGTACGTGGCCCATGGTGATATGAGCCTATAATATCAGGGGTTTAGAAAATTTACTGTTATGCTGTTCGGCATGTATCACGTTGATGCACCTACTTGTGAACTGTCTCTCGTCGGGTAAGTATATATCTTTCGGTGAGGACAGAAATGGGCGCGGGCCCCCAGGACACGCTACAGTGAGGCATACTATAGAATCGAATTACTCTATACTCAAGACAGAAAGATGGTAGAAAAAAGAAAAAAATACCGAGGAACAAGGGTGATATAAAGAAAAAGGCAAAAAAAGAACAAATCAAGTTCCAGACGCCAGATTGGCGCTGCTGGGAATCGAACCCAGGTCGAGACGGAGCTGTGGGGAGCCACAACGTCGCATGATAACCACTACACTACAGCACCTTGATTTGATGAGAGGCTGGGGGATAATTTGCATATATAGCAGTATAACGACAACAAGACAAAAAATTGACGACTCGCATCCCCCCGCTTCAATAAACATCAAAATATAACGAAGGAGCTAGTTGCTTTGACTAATGTGATGTTGGCATACCTCAAAACATAGAGAGATCTGGGCCAGACCTACTTCGGTGTCGATACATGGCACCGCTCCGATAAGCGTCGCGAGTTCGCGTTGACGCGCTTAATCGATAACCAAATTATGCGGTTCACATCACCCACTCAGAGAAATTCACCGCGTCAGCAGAGATCACTGCCAATGACGATAGCTATGGCCACACAAGAAGGGACATCTCTGCCCCTATATCGCCCGACCAAGGCGATCCCTTACGAACTCGTCCAACATTGTGGCATATTCCTCGAAGAAAAGCTATGTTGGTTTGCCCGCTCACCACATCACCGATGCCACGCACTGACACAGAGCCATACCCAGACACACAAGCACTCAATCTTCTACTGAACATACTGTCGCCTGGTGCTATTGCCTCAGGACCCGTTTACGTCCCCTCCCCACAGCACCTTGCAGTGGCAGCCACATTTCTCGTCCACCCATCCACCACCAGCCGAGCCAAGACAGCAGAAGAGGAAGAGGCACCGAACGCAGCGCTGCGGCTGCTCCGACTCACCAACACGCTGGTCGGACCAATTTCTGCCAAGCTTACCGCTGCGTTTGCATTCAATCACTTCGAGTCCTCTCGGCGGGGGAGGCGGCGGCGCGTAGAAGACGACGAGAACGCGCATGGCGATATCCTGAACGACGACACGAGGACATTGAACATTGACCTGTGCCAATCGGCATCTCTCTGGTCTCGCGCAGAAGACTTCTGGCATGCCGTCGGCTGGGCGTTCAACTGCTCTGTCCTACACCCGGAACGGTGGGCAAGATGGCACATATGGCTGCAGTTTATGTGTGAGGTTCTAGAGGACGACTGGAACGAGCGCAAGAGGCAGAGCACGGGTGCCATGGATGACGAAGACCGTCGAGGAATACTCGAGAAAAGCTTGATTTTCCGGTACATCGCCGGCGGGAGCGTTGGGTATGGGCGGAATCGAAGAATCCTGCGAGCCATCTTCGCAGATGGCGGCTCGGCCTCCGTCAATGAGTTCCGCGAGGTGTTCCACAAGGAACTGAAACAGCCCAAGCGCGAGAGCAACAATATCAAGAAGCGCGAAGTCGAAGTCAACATCGACGAGGACCGATTCGGCGACTACCTGTCCAAGGACGAGGACGAGTCCGACGCAACAGACTCCGCAGCGACGGCAAGACATCCACCTCGTCAATCCAAGCGCAGCAGGCGAGGCGGCGCCCCAAAAGACACCTCAACCGCCGACGCAATCACCACCGATACGCCCAGCACCGTCCAGGTCCACGGAGGCGTCTCCCTCCTCGGCGGCTTCCAATCCCTCGCCCTCCGCCAACGCCTCCTGCACCTCCTCTCTGCCGTCTCCGAGGACCTCCCCGCCTCCTTCACCACCCTCGAGGAACTCTACCACCTCTTCGTCGAAAACATCCGTCACCTGCCCCTTCCCATCTTCCAAGCCTTCGTGAGCCCCTTCGTCCTCCCCCATTTCTCCGCCGCCGCGCAGACCACCCTCTGCGAGTTCCTGCTGTTCCGTATGCGCGAGAACGCAGCCCCGGACACAGACGAGGAGTATCTGAACCAGTCCAAACTGGAAGAGTGCTTTTTGCCCTATGCGGCCAGCACGCCTAGCATCGTCGACAATGCCAAGATGTCCATTACGCTGGAGTCGCTTCTTGTACTACTGGCGGACAGTGATCTGCTGACCGTCACGCCGGAGCTGAGGGCTGCCGTGCAGCAGGGGATCATGGCCCGTGCGGAGAAGGCCCAGGTGGAAACGAGGAAGAACCAGAGTAGTCGGAAGACGGAGGATATCGAGTGGTGCTGGCTGATTGAGAGTGGGGAGCGGTTGATGTTTCTGGTTGACGAGGTTCTTTCACAGAAGGGTGCTTCTGCGAAGCAGTCGTGATCGGCACACCTTTTCTATATCTTCAAG